ATTTCCGAAATATAACTTTTTATTTTTAAAATACCAACAGAAAAATTATATAATTAAAGAAATGTAGTATTTTTCCGTTTCACATTCATAAATATTTCCGAAATTATAATTCTTTTATAGGAGCCGGCCCATAACGTACGATTGTAGGTACGATTAAAAACTGACAACAATGTAGTTATTTTTGGCATATAGAAAGTACAGGCCTATCTCTGTAACGCTGCCATCTGAATGTGAATTTATCTATAGTTGTTTTTTTTTTAATGAATGAGTTTGGTTGTTTAGGTAAAGGACACTATTAGTTTATTTCTTTGTTATTTATACAGTGCTAGTCAAAAGTCCGTTCCCCCTTCGCATCTTTTGAACGGTTATACTTATAATAGTGAAATTTGGAGGGAGGTAATAAACAGCCGTAGTCTTCTCAACTAGTCATAACAGGTGACGTAATAGTGACAGATGACGTTACAGCGCCACTGTGACAGATAATTTTAAACGGGACCTTATGGCAAGTGATACCTCGTTTGAAAGGTATTGAAAATACCTATTCAGTCATAATAATTTTATTTGAGTTTAAGCTCATTTTGATAAATAAATTAAATAAATATTAAAATTATTGTAATTTCGCATTTAATTAATAATTATTAAAACCTACGCCTCTGGTTACTTGTCAAAAAGTTTACGTTTTTCAATTCTCTAATTGTTTTTACGTCAACGTCAACTTTTTTGGCAATTAACCAGAGGCGAACGTTAGAATATTCATTGATTGAATGCGATACTACAATTATTTTAATATACCTATTCAATCATACTAATTTTGTTTGGATTTAAGATGCTTTTGACGAATAAATTAAATACTAAAATATCATTTGGCATTTAATTCATAAAAATTCTAAAGTCAGCCTCTGGTTATTTGTCAAAAAAAGTTGACGTTTGTCAATTCTCTAGTTGTTTTTAGTTTGCAAAAGCGTTTATAGCCCAATATTTAGTTTCTGTTTCTACTTAGTTTAGTCAATTCAAGTTTAGTCAATTTGTTTTTAGTTAGTTGTTCTTAGTTAATATTTAGTTTAATTATTGTTTAACGAAACGTTTAAATTTTTACAAAGGCAGAATGGTACGTACTACAGTCGACAAAATAGCAGCTGTATTAATAATTGGTGAATGTGGAAATAATTTACATGCAGCGGAACGTCTTTTAATGAGAAGTACCCCGATCGCCCTATATCGAGATCTTATTTGAGAAAGCTTCTTCGGAAGTTTAAACAAACAAGTAGTGTTCAAGATGGTAAACGATCTGGTCGATCAACAATTACTGATGACAAAAAAAATTGACAGAATATCAGAAATAGTAGTGAATCCTACTTCTTCTACAGCCCAAGATGCATCTATCTATGGAATCAGTCAAAAGACAGTACACCGAAAGTTAACTGAAAACAAATTTAATCCATACATTTTTGGGCAGGTATTTTGGTCGGTCAGATAGCTCAGCGGGCTGTGCGGCTGCCTCTCATTCGCTTCACTGTCGAATGGTTTAGTGGATGTGGGTCGAGCCCCAGCTCGGTGTACAGAAAACAAAAAGTCTAACGCAGCAGTTTAAAATTCTAGATGAATCTGCGGCTTAGACTAGGATATGCTGGGTTCTGATCGGCCTATGGTGGAGCAGTACGGCAAGAGATAAGGGCTTGCGGCTCGGTGATACTCCTCCATAGATCCTACCGGACGGGCGTAACGCCTAAAAAAAACCGGATAATTATATATATATATATATATATATATATATATATATATATATATATATATATATATATATATATATTGGGAAACCACATAGTTGGGCCTGTTTTTCTCAATACTGACTTAACGGTGAAGTAAGTGTATCTGGAGATGTTACAAAATGCAATTGAACCATTAATATTTGAAATTCTGGAGGATAATCTAGATGAATTCGGTAACTTGGAAATAACGTTTCAACAAGATGGTGCTCCTGCATACCATTATGGTGCAGTAAGACGTTACCTAGATGAGGAATATCGTGATAGATGGATTGGAAGACCAGATACGATAGAATGGCCAGCCCAGTCACCGGACCTCACACCATTAGATTTTTTTCTGTGGGGATCCTTGAAATCTAAAGTTTACGCTACAGCAATCGACAATATTGACATTTTGAAACAATGAATTGTTGAAGAATGTATAAGAGAAGTGTATAAGAATGTGAGTACGGCAAGAGTTTAGAAATAGGATGCATTACTGTCAGGAAGTAGATGGAGCACATTTTGAACATTTACTATAAAAAATGGTTGTTAAATATTTATCAATTAAATGAGAAGCTACAATTTTAGTATTTTTTAAAATCTATTCATCAAAATGAGCTTACACTCAAACAAAATTATTATGACTGAATAGGTATTTTCAATACCTTTCAAACAAATTATCACTTGCCATAAGGTCCTATTTAAAATTATCTGTCACAGTGGCGCTGTAACGTCATCTGTCACTATTACGTCACCTGTTATGACTAGTTGAGAAACCTACGTCTGTTTATTACCTCTCTCCAAATTTCACTATTATAACAATAACCGTTCAAAAGATACCGAGGGGGAACGGACTTTTGACTAGCACTGTATAAAATTTTAAAATTATGGTTGAATTTATTACCATGCCTAAAAGTTTTTTAAGCATGGAAAGTTAACTAGAAAGTTAACATCTGAGATGTTAACGATAACAGAGATATAACCATAGCAATGGGTGATTTTAACTCTGAATTAAGAAAAGGGGTGAATTCCAAGATTTTATTGGTGAATTTAGACTGGGAATAAGGGACGAAAATTGGGACAGACTGGCGGAAGTAAAATCAATTTAAAAACAATAAAATACACAATAACTTCCTTTCTAAAGCGCCCAACTACTACATAAAAGATGATTATACAAGAATAAAAATTCAAGGATGCATAGAGAGAAATCAGAACAAAGATACCAACAACTAAAGATAAATTAAAATCCACAAGGAAAAATTCCTGTAGCTGGCTGTATACCACGTATAACAAAAAGAGGTTAATCTTTGTAAATGGGTATATTTATTTAAAAAACGCTTAAAAGGGCCACATCAATAAAACAAACGTTTTCGGACCACACAGTCCATCATCAGGTTTTTAAATCGAAAAATGCCTAAAAATAAGTATAAACCATTTAGTTAAAACAAACGAGATTGTGAAATTTTGACTATGGTTGAAAAGCAAAAGATGGTTATACTTACTAGGTCACAATGCCTGAGCCACCAAAATACTAGGGTAAAAACCCTTTAAATTACATTTAGTTATGAAATGTTGTACATTTTGTTGTAAAATAACTGTGATGTTCAGTATTAAATTAGACTATAGGTAACACATGGCTCAATCTGGTTCCAGAGCCGGTGAGAGGGTACCTCTGCACTCGGAGAACAGCGTGGAACTGATTGACAAGATACTTTTGAAGGATGAAGATAACAGAATGTCAATGCAACAAAAACTATAATAGTTGTACATAGTATTACTACAGCCAAAAGATTCAACAAGTTTTGATGATTTTAAAAAATAACAACAATCTAGGTGTTGGGATATAAAAACTTTTTTATTTATTAATTTAGGGTATAAAAGATGTCAAATCAATGATGGTTTTATAGTCATGATTAATAGAATGACCTGTGCCTTAGGCAACTTATGTTGCTTTTCGTCGTATGGAATGTGGTCTAAAGTGTATTTAATATTGGGTTAGCTTATATATATGAAATGTATCCTTTTATGTTTAACACATCTAGGACAAGGTAAAAATTAAATAACAAATATTTGAAGCTAATATCAGACCTCATATTTAAATGACTTTATTTAAGACTGCTCCTATGGTGAAAAATTAATAAAATTAAGTTTAGTAAGATGGAAATCTACAGGCTGAAGAAATTGAAGTAGTAACATATGTGATTGAATTTAAAATTGAAGAGGCTGGGTTCCTCAGAGACTAATGAGAATAAAAGTAAAGGAAATGACTGAAGAAAAGGAGGGGGGGGGGGGCGGTAGAAAGAGAAAAGGAGTTGATCAACAATTAGAGATAATAGGGGTCCTTTATACTTAAAGTATCTAGCACCCTAAACAAAATCTATTTTGGTGGTATTAAATTCAGTTTGTAGAAACCTGAAATTTGTTGTATAAGTGTGCTACTAAGTTGTTGACCGAACAACATTGTTGTTGTTTCGGTGCCACCAACCAGAAGCCACCAAAGATTTTTTTTTTAAAGAACGACTGAGAATTGATAAATTTAAATTGCACAAAAAAAGAAGGTATTCACACAGTCACAACACATAATTTGCGTTTGGTAATTTAATTTCAAATGTAGTTATATCAATTTATCAGATTCCAAGAAAAAAAAAAGGAAAAAATACTAAATATAATTTATTAAGCAAACAATACTACTTAAACAAATATGCCTTTTTCTCACTTTTAATTCTGCAAAATCAATGTTTCTTCTGTCAATCAGTTTGTCATAATTAATAGAGTAATGACAAACTATTTAATTTTTGTTGGCCAAAGATTACATTACTTTAACCGCTTGCATTGCTTATTGGGAGGGTTAAATAAATTCTCAGAATTGTAATGTTCTTTACCACTGAATCTTATTTCATGTTCTGAATTTTCATGATGAAATAGTTTTCCTATTTCATCATAATTGATATAACTACATTTGAAATTAAATTACCAAACGCAAATTATGTGTTGTGACTAAAAAATATACCCGGAGTTACAATGTTACCTAGGTCACGCTTTAGCCGTAGTCTGCCACTGCTCTCTACTAAACTTTTACTACCATAAACCTTTACTATACTCTACTTATCGTAAAGTCCTTTTTGATTCAATATTCATCAACTTTTATTGAGTCTGTCCCTTCAATCAAAGGTAACAGACTATTTATCATAAGTAACTCAGAACTGTTGAATGTTTTTGCCTTCAAAGCTAACTTATTTTATTTTGTTCTAGTTCTTCGGTTTCCTCGGCATGATAGCGTACGCAGTCGATGCTTTCGTGAAGTTTAGGGCCATCCAAAGTGGCCAACTTGCTCAAGGAGAAAGAGTAGTCAGCCGGCAAACGACAACTGTAACTAGTCCAGCATATTAAATCTAATCATTTCTTGTTTATCACCAATTATCACAGTCTCACTAATCTTCAATGCCTACACCTAACACCCACAAATTAGAGTAATACTCAAAGTGTAAGCTAGTAAGTCTCGGATTAATTTAACTTAGAGGTAACAAGGTGGGTATTTTTTAAAAGAATGGCAGGTTCATGATAATGCTACTTTTTTTGTTATTGTGTATTAAAATATAAGAAAGTACATCTACAACGTATCAAAAAAGCAATATTTACAATTTTCGACGATAAAGCAAATATCATCTTAATTTTTTCATTCATCCCCGTCTTCTTAATTACTCTTACTACGTTAATCAGCTTACCTTTTTAAGAGTATTCGGTGTATTAATGTGCTAATGTACTTGTGTGTCATGCACACTAACCTAAAAACACGAAAGTCCCTTGTCACGGATATGTGTAGCGTATAGGTTAAGTAATATAACCAACTCGTTTGTAATATCAATTTCTTCTGTTTGTTTCTGCACAATCTTCATTAAATGGTTTTTACTTTCTAACTATTTAATTATTTGAACTGTGAACTCCCTCATTAATTCCAATTATTCTACAGTATCTTAAATTATAATAACACTTTAGATTGATTCCTTAGATGCAATATAATTCTTTTTATTACTCTTTGTAATTTTCTTATCATGTAAATATATTTATTTATGAATATCTAAGTTTCTTTGCTATATAGAGGCATCGGCAAAATACATTGATTGGACATATTTAATTAGTTCAAGGGTGTGCATTTTTATTTTTTACTGTATATGTAACAATTTTTTCATCCAAGAGAAAATCTAAAGTATTAGCAAGTCAACTTACCTTAAGTAAGCATTTAAACCTTGTCTTCTTCGTGTAGTGTTATCTGTTTCGTATGTTTTTCGACCATCATATCTATATTTTGCAAACTACTGATCTGAAAAGATTTGTGGTTGTTGTGTTGAACCACGTACTTCTTCGCCTTTCTGGGCCAACTTTTTCTTCTTCTGAACACAAAGTTCAAACTTTCTATCGATAAAGGCTTGCTTGCTGCTTGTGTGTGTATCGATTCTTTTTGTTTTTTTTATTGGTGGCTTAAAGAAAAGGTATATATTCGACTGAAAGTAAATTAAAAATTACTAAAGCAAGCTACAACAAACTTAGTTACTGTTTTTTATTTGGAAATCTGAAATGATGTATATACTGCACATTCCCGTAACTGATACACTGATTTTAATTTTCGTTTTAGTTTCTTAAACCATTTTATATACTTTTGATCCCAATTTGAAAAATTTTGCTGATTATTTACAAATCACTTGTCCACTTAAACAATATGTTGACTTTGTACTTTCTAGGTGTACTTTACGGTATTTTACATGTTAAATCTTGATAAAAGCTTATGATAAAGTTTTTTTATTTTAATTTTAAGTTGAAATCGAAAGCTCCATTAATTATTAGACAGACTAAAATGGTGTTTGATGTTTGAAAAATGATTACTTCAACAAAAATCTTGCAAAATTACATTTACTTTATTATATAGTAGTTATGACAAGCTTAAAGCTGGTCTGTTATTTTTTTTTATATCGAATTTTACTTATATTGCTAGTAAATGAAGAGAAATGAAGGATTAAAGTACAAAATTAAACAAATATATGTACAAAATCGTAACCTAAATGTAGAATTACTTCAAATGGTAAAGTTTTTAAAATTCTTGGTATTTGGAAATTATATAAAGAGCACTCTATGATTGTTGCATCTTGTACTGCTAATAGAGCAGGTAAAAGTTACTTATCAGTACCAAAAAGCGATTTTAAGTGGGTAATCCAAGAAAACAACGTGATCGATGAAAACACAACTACCTAATTAACATTGTTACATATTTAGGATAAGTCATGGGATTTGACAAGTGACAAATGATATCGTGTTTCTAAAAGACAAACTGGGAAAATCATGTGTATCTTCTATCTAGAACAGCCCAAACCATTGAAACATAAAAAAATTGTCCTGTGTACGAATGGAATATATTCACGATTTTTGTTCTTTTTTCAAATATGCTTTTTTCGTAGTGTACCTCTTTGAATTACTCATACTTTGTATTGGTATCATTAGTAGCGAAGTAAGGCATAGATAGCACTAAAGGACTCTACTTTACGATGTGTGGATTGTCTGGTGACATGAATAAAATAATTAATGATAATTACTAATGGATACTTCGGGAAAATGAGCAAATTTAACCATTTTTTTAGTTCCTAACGTCAATAAAACAATAACAACTAAAATTGTGGATATTTCAGAAACAAAGGCCAGAGAAAACGTTCTTTTACCTGTAAAAATAGAGCGACATTCTTGTTCATGACGTTGTGTACTTTAATTCTGCTTTTCTCAAAATATCGAGAGGCATTCTCAAAAAATATTGCATTTTTGTTGATTTACATATGTTTTTAGATAATCTGTATATTTTCTTGCATATTGTATGTTGTATAATGATTACTGAAAGTACCAATAGTGGCTTATATATTCAAGAACACGTTAAACCTTTTACGACCCTAATGTACCTTATGTAAGTGCTATGTACATTTAGCAGATAACATAATTTTTTATATCAAGTAGTTTAAATTTTATCGTCAAATTTAAAACGGTTTAAGACTGGACATATTGTCAACTGTAGATTTTGTACTATATTTAAAAAAGAAGTTATTTGGTATATGTATATATCGGTTACAACAAATTATGAGTTTGTGTAGTGGAATAACTCAAATCACTTAGAAAAATGAACACACTACTAGTATTTTAATACCTATTATCTACATTATAATCATTTATGCTACCGTCATAGATGAACTTGGACTTTATTATCTTATTTCTTCATTCAGTCCGATTCCTAAAGGTTCATGTTAATTATAGACATCGATCTTCCTTTTTTAAGGTCGACTCAATGGCTCAGTGCGCTGACAGCTTCTCATCGAAGTGAGTCGTTTATTCGTCAGTTCATTAGTGAGTCACACTCTAGTCAGGGAATAATTTAAACGTTCCTATATGCAAAGGTACTTCTTTTATTCGAGTCGACCTAGAGTATTTGGATATTAAAAAAATCGTTCACTGAAGAACAAACTTGGATGTCTCCACTTCTTTTATCATTTGAGCTATTAGGCATACTTTCACATTTAAATTGGAAATATCATTTGTTTAGTTTGTCTTAATTGTCTCACTGTTCACATGCCTATAGCATCCAAGACAGTATATATGTTTCTGTATCTAATATGGAACTAGGCACAGTTCAAATGATACCGATGCGCTGAATTTATTATAAGAGAAAGTAGGAAAATATACAAGTGATTGGGTTATTACCACGCATGTCTCAAGTATAAGCACTTGTTATATAATTTATTGTTGATATATTCTAAATGTTTACTGTTAAGAATCACTGTATTAATGTTTATAATGAGGATAAAGCACTATAAAAGTATTTTGTATTTTAAAGAATAAACTTTATTAACGAATTCTGACATCATGTGAAAAATACTTTAATGCAATTATATAAAAAAGTTGAAGTCATTGCGCATGTTGACTTGGTTTATATTCATACTGTGGTTATTAAATTAGGAGCTAAAATTATTTGTCGATTTAATTAAATAATAGTGGGAGTTCTGTCTGGTACAACGTTTTTGATTTACATCACCTGAGGGCGACCAGACAAAAAAACTGTTTTATGAATTATCTAAATACTTTTATGTATATTTTTATATGTATATAATTACTTAAGTATAAAGCATTTTCAATTAAAACTGAGGTTTGTCGATACAGGATCTCACATGAGAGTAACATTACTGCCCTTACTTGAATTAAAAACTGTTTATTCGTCTTATCTTTAAAATAATAAACTAATTTACAATTAATAACAAGTTTTTGCAAAAAAATACATATTCAGTGGATTGTTAATTTTGCAATACAGAAATAATCACGTAACGTTTTGCTGTTTTGCAATAGTTTCTCTACTTTAACGATAATTTAGAAGAAATACCTAATTAAGAAGAGGTCTCATAGAGTCTCAGAGGTCAAATAATAGTTCTCCTAATTTTCACAAATATAAAATGGTCCTTCGAGCGGGATATATTTCAGCTATCCGGGTCGAAGGACCATATTAATCTGTTTTTACGTAGCGTAGCTGATATGTTCAGAGAAAGGTTACCCAGTTAGTTATAAAATTTTTTTCATTCCATTCTCCAGTATTGCAGGAATTAAAAGTAAAAAAAGTTGCAGTTTTAGGTTTAATTTGGGTAATAATATGTGTTGCCCAGCCAATGGAGAACAACATTCATTACAAACTTCAGTCTCTTTTATTTTTTTCTTAATTAAGTTCTTAATAGAACATAATATGTGAATATCATTTCTTTTATCTGTATACAACCTTTACTTGTCAGTGATCCATCATTCCGTGTAGTAGTAACAACTAGCACTTATCCTGATGACAAGTAAGGGAATTAATTTTAACCATATTGACTCTATTTAGATGATTTTTGCTCTTAAACCACACTGTATGGAAGTTTTAACAATATTCCATCGTTAAATTAGTTGTTTTCACATGGTGCAGAATTTTCATAACTAATATCATATGTACTGCTTTCTGGATTATATTTATTTTTGGTATAAATATGAAGGTTATTAATTACTAAAGGCCAGTAATATATTTTTGTTAATGTCAAATTGCTTTGTATATACTATTGTTTTATTATACAATCACAACCGCCTAGATTAGAAAAATTAAATTTTAAGTATAGTTCAGAAGCCAAGTCTGGTTTGTTGGTTTGTAAAAAACGCTAAATTGAAAGTAGGTTTCATTTTAAGATAACCAATATTCTAAATAGAAAATATATTTTATGCCATGACAACTTTGAAGTATCCAAAAAACTGCTTAAAACAAATTTCATTTTTAATGTAATAAAATTAAATATTGTTCTGAAGCTATTTTCTTGTGGCATTGTAAATTAATTACTATTTATAACTGG